CGAAATTCTGTAGTATTACAAAGTTGCATTGAAGAAAGAAATAAACTAGTTTTAATTAAGAAAGAACTTGTATAACTGAAGCTACTACGGAAAAAAAATTTATACCGGAAATTAACAAACGAGCAGATACACAACAATATAAAAATTTATATGAATCATACAATTAATTACAGATTTCATAAAAATATGATGCATATTTTCACATACACCATGAATAATACGTTTTATTTGTTTGTATTTGCAAACGAGAAACTTAGTAAATGTTTCGTCTTTGTGTTTTCTTTTTATGTCACTATTATAAGCATCTGGCTATTTTCTGGGCCCACCCAGGGGAATCGAACCCCTGATTTTAGTGTTGTAAATCCGTAGACTTACCGCTGTTTCAGCGGGGTACGAAGTTATGAGTGTGTGTTTAGTTATAGTGAAGACACATCAGGCTATCTGCTATGCCCACCAAGGGGAATCGAGCCCCTAATTTTAGCGTTGTAAATCCTAAGATTTACCACTTTTCCACCAGGGACTTATAAACGAAACATAACACTAAACGAAAAGTTTACGCTTATAAATTTTGAAATAGTAAGTATACTGTAGTGATGAATCATTTTAATTGTATCCTTTGTTTAAGAATTTTTCAATTATGGATCATTGTTTTATTGGCATCCAATATTATAACAAACAGTGCTAATGTACTTATTTATTAACTTCTATTTCAAGCATATTTTTAATTTAACATGTAATATTTCATAGTGGTGGCGCTAATGTATAATTACATCACATAGACATAGAGTAAGGAAGAAAGATGCTGTTTACTGAGCTATTGATCTAATGTTTATGTTACGAGATGAAATATGGATGTGCTAAGACCGCCTGTTGTATGGATTGATGGCAGATGTTACAGGAAGTATCCTGTTACTGGTAGTAACCAGAAAGAACAGTGTTACAGAAGTGAAGAAAATTCTCATCAATGTAAGTCTGAAGTGAAGGTATATATAGTTGAACATTAATGATAATAATTTCGTTTTGACTGAGTATTTAAAATTAAATACGATAACCTTTACCGTTAAAACGTGTGTACTTGATCATGATCGTACCACTAGAGGCTACCGATGATCGAAACATCGTACCTATTTTTAAAAAATATTCCTCCTTTCTTTAAAAGTTTAACTTGTAATAAAATAATATTTGAACATTGTTGAAAGTTAGTTCTAGTTTATACTGCCATTCAATTCAATGGAGCATGAATATACTACTATTAGTATTAACTTCAGGTAGTTGAACGGTTCATAAATTCTCTTCTGATAATCGGTGTGTAATAAATAATAGCAACCCCAGAATTCAGCTTCAAGCTTTAGACCTGCTTTCTTATTACTTCGTTTATCGCTTTTATTTTTACACTGTAAGCTTGTAATTTGTATACAATATCCTGAAAATAGTGAGGCATAATGCCGATATAATGGACAAGTATTTTTTTCGTTTTTCTGGCCTCAAAACTCTCTCTAAGCTCTGGCAATTTCTCTCAGCTTTGTGTAATTGAAGAACTATAAATTAAATAAAGTAGTTACAAATTTATTTTTATTCTGAACATAAATGTACAGACAATATTCAAAAGCTGTAAAAGTTTAATTTATTGTATAGATTGTCAGAGATAACTTGGGAGGAGCACATTAAACTTAAAGATTGAAATTTGATTTAAAATTCTCAGCATTGCTTTAGAAACGCTTTTCTGGATAAGTGTACTTCTGTTGACATTTCAGTATCTCGAGTTTCCAAAACATAAAAAGGCAGAAGGCTTTTGATAGTGTTTTTCACAAGATTGGTTAGAAATATAAATTCTTACAGAATTGAAGAACTTAAATGGTGGATTAATCATTGGCTTGTAAATATAAACTAGTGGCTGTGATGAATGGATACCACTATAATTGAGAAAATATAATGGGTGAGGGTTTCTCATAGGCTTCTCTTTGATTGTTTGTTATCTATGTAAGTGATAAGGATTATTATTAGCATTAAGATTTCTAAATTTCCCAATGATACTAAACTGATTTATAAGGTTGATTTTCTGAAAAATTCTTCTTTTATATAGAAGGATTCAGTCTTGCTGAGTGGACTAATCTGTGGGAAATAGTTTTCAGCATTTGAAAATATAAAGTGATGTATTTAAGTTATGAAAACTTGGAAGGGCTTTATTTTTGTGTTGGAGAAATATTGGGGTTGTAGAGTAAAAAGGATATGAATGTGGTGAATGATAAAAACCTAAATTCTTTGGAAGAGGTAAAAAAATTAAACAGGGAGTCATGGATCTATTTACTGGTATTTTGAGTTCAGATGTAGTGAGGTTATTGTAACTTTGTACTGCAGTAAGGTCTCATTTGCAGTATTGTGTTTAGTTGCAGTTTCATTATCATAAAAAACAGAAAATATTGATTAACCTAAGAGTTCAGGGACAGGCTACCAAAATGACTTCTGATTGGAAACATTTAAGTTATGAAGAGAGTCTCAAAGCTTTGAACTTGTTTCTTCTGGAGTGTAGAATAACGAGAGGTGGTCTGATTCAAATGTTTAAAATTATTAGGAACTTGAATAAATGCCATATGGGAGATAGGTTAGACCAGTTGAAGGATAAGATTGTGAATGAAATCCTAAATATTAGAGGAAAAGAGTTATGGAAAGTCAGATAATGATAGTTACTGGCAGTATGATAAGCTTTATAAAATAATCATATTGCTAGAATCTATCATTATTTCCCAAAGAAATGGAAAGTGTAAAAAAAATGTGTAGTTAAGATACAGTTTTCATCTCTCTTGACAACATCTTAAAATGTTTTTTAAATGGCGTGTACATCCCTAACAAATGAGCTATAATGTGCCCAAACTGTAATTTTATGACAGTCTCCCATTTATGGATAAAGACAGTTATTTGTTTCAAAATAAAATAAAATATATCTCAATCAAACTATCGGCAAATTTCAGTGTGTATAGCCTTAAAATCAGTATTGAGAATTGAGAACTTTTTCAAGATAAAGGACAGAATAAGTAAACTTCAATGCTTCTGCATTGTTTATCCATATGATTTTTCTTGATGTGGAGGAGATAATGTTAGATTAAACACATGTCATTTATTACAGTGTATAAAAGAGAATCTGAAGGATACTGTCAGTAGTTTTTCAAATATGTATAAACATCTCGATCAGGAATATGATGAAACTGCTAAAAAATAACTCCGCAATTATATGAAGTTCCAATAATGAACAAGATGTGAGAATCGAAGAGAGACAGTTACTCAAGAAACTAAAACCAATATTGAATTCTAATTAATCAATGATAAAAAAATTGTTCATCATTAGAAAAACAAAATGCAAATAACTGTGGTTGCCTGGCCAGAATCTGATGGGACTTTTATCATTTTGAATGCTGATAAACATATACTGAATGATATAATCTAGACAAAGAATTATGTCCATTCAGTCAACAGTAACCACAGAAAGCAAGGATATTACCATAAATAATATTTAAAGGGATGTGCTACTTTTGAAAGAAAAAGGAAATGAGTAGCAAAGCCATACTGTGAGGGGGGACAGATTTTTAATGGTGTCTGAGGTTGTTTTTACACCTATTAAATATATTTTGAATATATATATATATATGGTAATATTTGGGGGGGGGGGGAAGATTGCACCTCTCCATGCCTACATGTATGTGGAAAATACTAACAGAAGATGAATATATATCTTACAGATATGTACAATGTGTGATTGAAATTACTGAGTATTAAAAATCACAAATCAACATTACAAAATAGTAGTTGATAAATATGAGGTGGTTATCTACTTGTGTTATATACTACTAGCTGGAGTACCCGTCCTTTGGACGAGTGAAATAAAACTTCGTTTGTAGCAAAGGATAGGAAATTGTGCTTCACTTTTTTTCTTCTTAATATAATAAACTTTAAAATTCCAATAAAAATACATAAAGGTACAAATACTGAAAAGAAAGACATACTGTTTTCAAGAATTCTATCAATACGAAATTGGATGCCCCTCCCCCCTCATGTTATCTTGTATCATTGTGTCAAGTTTGGTGCTGATTGATCATGAAATATGGAAGTGTATAAGGAACAGATGCATACACATTTGACATATATTTATATAGATAGGAGGATATCACAAGCCAGCTGCTAGGTTGTGTGTGGCTGAACAGGGCTCAATGATTAGCTTGTTAAGCTGCAGCTCCAAAGGTCCAGTATTCAAGATATGATGCACCTTCGGCTGTGGGCTTGTGACAATTAATCCCATTATTTAGTTCAGAGAACCAAAGTCTTCATGGTAGTGACTGGTTGCCTATACCTAAACCTGAGGACTCTTTGACCTAGTCATTAAACACAAGTGTATAAGGTGTAATTCAGGTTACAAAAAATTCTTATTTCCAGGTCTAGTGATATAAGTTGGTAATATTACAGATAATGAGAATTTATGTAAGGAAACACTAGGCTTGATTTAAGTATTGCATTCATGAAAAACATAGAAACAAAAATGTATAATTTTTTTTGGTTTTTTTTAGACATTTATTTGTATTATTTAATGTTTTTTGTTTGACTTGAGATATTCAACAGAAAATATTCCATGTAGTCAAATGAAGTCCAAATGTGTTATTTGCATGTTTTTGTCTTTTTTAATGTTAAGAAAATATACGTGGTTAGAGTTGGGTGGTTAGTGGAATTTGATAGTTTACTGATCATCTCGCTTATTAATCATTCTTTCTGGACACTTGGATAGTAGGAGTGATCAGAAACACTAATTTTGATTTTTGGATTATTTTTGTAAGTCCTGACACTAGTTGATTAAGTTGAAAAGCCTTCAATTAATTGAAAATAATAATGATAAGTCATAATGACAGTATTACTGTTGTTTATATATTGGACAATTATAATAATCAGAAACATTAATTTTGGATTATTTTTATGACATTAATCAAGTTAATTGTCCAGCTCTATAAATGGTGATAATGGTCTTTACGTACTGAATTTCTCTTGGTTTCAAAACTGAAGTGCAACAAGCACAGGTGAATTATTTTGACATTGTAGATAAATGTATTGCATATTATATAAGAATAACTGAATTAGGGTATTCATTTTTCAATGAAATATCTAATAGTATATAAAATTTTGATAGAAGCAACAGCTTTTACAATATTAATAACATCTCTTAGTTAAGCACATTTTTACTTATAGCCCAAAATGTGGTGTGGACAGAAGAAAGTTTTGACGTCGATGTCCCAATAGAGGAAACGGATGATGGCCAATTTAAAGCTACCTTAGCCATACCAAGTGTTTTCTTCAAGTTAGTTCTATAAAATACAAGAAACTTAAAAATTAATCATTCATTTCAAGCCTTATTGTTGTTTTTTACAAATTTTAGTTTTTATTTTCAAGAGAATAGGTATTGGAAAAATATACAAATCTTAGAAACTCTTAAAACAACTTTTGGGAACATTATTTAATTTACTGCTTTTCAAGTTGACATATCTCACAAGATATGTTTGAAACATAGAAAAAAGTATTATATTTAATTGTAATACCTAAATTTAAATATAATTTGTCTTTTAGAGTCATTATTGGGACAAAAGGATTAACTAAAAAAAGACTAGAAAATGAAACCACAACCAAAATTATAGTTCCTAAACAAGGCATGGAAGGTGACATTAGTAAGTATGAAATTTGCATTGAGTGAACCATTTCTCTTAAACTTTACAAATAATGATGTTTATTCAGTTCTTTCCAATACATGTTTGCCACATCATTTTATAATTATAAAATATATTTCAGGAGTTTCTCATAAACAAATTCCTGAAATATAAGACAATGATAAGAAGTATATCACTCAGTGTAAGTAACTGGATGTAGAAGATGTACTATGGTTAACTTATTATAACATATCTTCCTTTACTTTCAGTCATGGGTTCTTAGAATTACTAATGTTGTTTTCTTCTATTGATGCTGTGGTTACTTGATCTGCTCAAAAAACAAGCTGGTTTACCAGTTCTTGTGAATGATAGTAAAGTTAATCAAAAATAATATTATAATAATGGCTATAAATAAATAATTGGTGTTAAAATGAAAGTAGAATAATGTTGTGTTAATAAGTTTTACCCTAAAAATATAATATGTAAATAACTTAAATAAAAATTGATAATAATTACAATTCACATGCTAAATCTGGTTGTTACTAAAAATTCATGATGTATATATGTAGCATCTAGACCACTACTGTGCCTTTGATATTCAAGCTGGCCTGGTGAGCCCTGGTATTAGTCGAAAGACCTCATTGGCATTGGATATGACTGAAATAGTAGGGTTGACATATTATAACATTCTCCCCTACTTTCATTTGTGATCGTAGAATTATATTTAACACTTGAGAACATACTGATGGTAGTTAATATATCAAGATGAGTATTTTGTGACTGTTATTTTTTAAAGATATCATAAAGACTGTTCTTTTTTTTATTTTCCTTCATAGTTATCTATGGGCCTCAGAAATGTGGAGTTATTTCAGCTAGGACAAGGATGGAACTTTTAGTGGACTCTGCAAGAAAGAAAACTCCTTTTACACATTTTCTCTCATTACCACTCAACCAAGGCCCCATTCAGAATGGTTTTCTAGATTTCCGAGACGATGTTTTAAGACAGTGTGATGGGGTATGTTAAATTCTCTCTGCTCGATTACTCCATGTGGTAATCATGTTGGAAAGTGAAGGTGCTTTTATTCAGAATAAGGTTTGAACCTAGTTTTATATGAAACATTGCAGGGTGAAGTTTGTAGATTTTTAATATCTATACAAATAATATGTAAGCAATGTTCTCTCTTGACGTACTGAGAAATTATTTTTGAAATACTTGTATGAATTTATAAAGAAAAACATAAAGCCTTTAATTTTGTAAACCCTGAGAAGATATTTACTAATATTAAACAAGTGTTAATTTTCATATTAGTATGTATGTAATATAAGGAAATCAGCTATTTTGTCATCAGTTTTCTGCTAATGTAATAATCTGAAAAGACTTAATCATTCTTTTGATTTACTTAAGAAGTATTAAATGTTGCCAATGTAATATTTATGGATTCACAAACTGTAATAGTTACATCTTTTTTCTTTTTAATTTGTTTGTGCTACAAATATTTTAGAGCTGGGTAATTGATCTTTATGTGATTACTCAAACTACCCAGTGACTAAGTGATTTATATTTTACCATTATGATTTATTATGTTTGATTATTTCAAGGTTGTTCAGCTGAAACATTTGTCTTTCTGATTATTACTGTTTTCAATTATTCCATCTCTCTCTGAGTTACGTGTGAGGATAACTGATTAGTTGAATGTAATCAATGAATGAGTCTGACAATTAAATGAATAGCAAATTCCACTGATATCATCCAACTTTAGAAAATGATTGAGAACGGTATTTAACATCGTAAAATTTGGTTTGACAGTGCTTCATTTTACAAAATTAAAACAAAAAGGTTAAAGATAGTTGTGTTAAAAAGCTTCAGGTCAAGACTAGTATAATCTACTTAATTATTTCTTAAAACTTTCCTTGTTTTAGTAACATATTACTGTCCTGATAATTTGTTTAGTATTATTATCTGCGTTTTCTCTGAAGAAAAACAGCAGTGAGAACTGTTTCCTCAAAAACCAATGAATATCTGGAGCCGATGCCATCCATATTAGTGTACTTTGGAGTTAGTGGATTATGCATGTTCATATATGTATATTTTGTCAAACATTGTAAATTTCAAAATGTTATCAATACACATGCAGTTAGTTAGGCTTGTAATGAATATATGCCTTATTCCAGAGAAGAAAAAAAACAATAAACCTGTTGAAAGATTTTGAATGACTGTATATATTTTTTTTCTTTTACAGATGAGAGGAATTGATGCAAGTATTTTTCAAAATCCCCAAAAGTTGCATTTAACTATTGGAACATTAGTATTGCTTGATAAACAAGAGAGAAAACTTGCTGGTGAAATTTTGAAGCAGTGTGAAAAAGAAGTTGTAGAGTAAGTTCTTTCCTGTTTGTAATATTTAATATTATTTGTATTTCTCTAATTGAAATTTGACATTTAAGAGTTAGTGATAAGTTTCCCCAATTTATTTGAAAAGATTTATTTATATTGTTTCTACACAATAAGTTATGTAAGTGCACATTGTATAATCAACCACTGTATTTATTATTCTAATGAACTTAAGCAAAACTAGAAGTGTTTTGTAAGTGAAAGATTAGTTAATGGCTTGTCCTTGAAATAGATCTCTGTGTTGATTGAACTTGAAACCATTTGTGCCACAATATAAATGTGTGTTTTATATTGTAATCCTGCGGCAGCATGTATTGGAGGTAAACATCTTTAATAAAAAGAATTCGACTTGGCTTTACAGCCTATGATTAGATAAATTACAGCAAAAAAATGCAATAGTAAGTAATCTGTGTGTGAAATTATTTTTCTATTTATTGTGTCATATGACAAGTCATTAATCTTGTATTCCATAGAATAAGTTGATTTGCTAGGCCCAGAAACCGGGAAATTCACTGAGAATTAATTTTGCTTCAGTTATTTTTAACTTAAAACTTTGTATATCTGCATGATGCACAACATAAGGCTTAATGCCATTGCTATTTAATAAGAGTAGTAGTTTTTACCACGGTGTATAATAAAAAAGTACCAAAACTGGTGAATCATAAAAATTTCCAGATGTCTATTAACAGCAAGTTCAAGTACTATGAATATATATTAAAATATTACTGACTATGTATGTTTTGTATGTAATAAACAAAATATAGCTATTGAAGTACTTTTTAAGTATAAGTGGTCATGGATAAGATTACCTAGTGTTAGCTTTATAAGACAGGGAGCAGTATATTTTACAGTTGTAGACTTATTTGTGGATATTAGTGACTGGGAACGAATGCTATATATTTCATTAAGAATGTAACTTTTTTGTTTAATCTTAAAATACAAACTTCTGGTTGAAAGTTGTATCACAAGTGCTTTTAGTAACTATGGACATAAATATGAAGACTGGACCAAACTTTGCATCTAACAATGACAGAATTCCATTCTTGTATCCTGACTGTAGGAGATAAAGGTCAAAACAATTTATTACTACAGGTGTATAAATGATTTTTTTGATTATTAGTTCTAGGCTAAGAGACATGATGAATATACTAGCCTGAACTCAATTCTACTTCCAAGTATGTTATTTTTCATTATAATTACTAAATTAGTACACTACTAACTTCTGAAATATATATTTTAATAGAAGCTTTCAATTCACTTTTTATAAACAATTTGACCTTATCCTCTCTGGTTCTTTGGAAGACCTTTTGGAGAAACATCTTCAATTTTAACTCAACCAAGTCTCTGAAATACCTATAGAATCTAACATGTGAACAGCAACCAAAGCCTCCAATTCTAACTTCTAGTATAAGAGAAACTAAACTTGTTATATTTGTATTTTTTTTATCAGAGTAACTGTCTCATTCTATTGACTTCATTTTTTCTAAAATCTAGAGTAGTTCTTTCATAGTTTCCCTTACCTTGTTCTAAAAGTTACTTAGTGCTCTTCCAAGCACTTATTCTCCAGGCATGAATGCACCTCTGAGGACTTTCCTACCAAACAAAATAAAATTCCTATTCTTTACTCCCCAAACAAACTGATTAATCAAAGCATTGTGAAGTTATGAATACAATTCAGTTAAATTTATACAGAGTCAAGGACCTTCATATCCATGTTTTAGGCCTTGTTTGGAAGGACAGCCACTAGATGTTACAGTTGAAGGTATAGAATACATGAATGATGACCCAGCAGAAGTGGATGTACTGTATGCCCAGATCCAGACCACCAATCACTCAAATAGGTGATTACAAGTATTCTGTACTCAAACAAGAGAAAAGCTTGACTTTATATTTAGAATATTAAACACTAATCACAATTTTCTACTAGTAGTTCTGACTTATATATATATGAATTGTACAAGGTAACATTTTTGAACATATGTATATATAATATATTTTTCAGTGTACTGAATATTGTCATGAAATGCATAATTATGGTTTTATAATGAACAGTAATTGTGAAAATACATATATTATTAATTACTGCCAACATGTGTTTTGTTAAATTATCAGTGTTTGAAATTTTTTATCTTTGTTGCAAGTGGTTTATCATAAATAGTTGTCTTTAGATAGTTATCAACTAATATTGTATATCTACTTACCAGACAAAATAAGTACTTGCATTACTACTATATGTACATATATTTGAAAAGTAGCTCAATAATAAACTTACTGAAAGTAGTATGAGTATAGGTGACTTTGTTAACTTAACATAAAATCAGCAGTGGATTAATGCTCTGGGATCCTCCCTCCCCCAAGAAATTTATTGTAATAATAATAATAAATGCATATTTTGTTCTGTAAGAATCTTATGCAGGTCCTTTCCCCTCATAATTTAATAGCATTATTGTAGACTGGTGGTAATACCTTACTGCCATAAAGAGGATAAATATTTAACTTAACAATAGGAAATATGGGTATGTATAATATGGGTGGTAGATAAGAACCTCCATAACCTGAGCCCCAAAAATTCTTAATCTGGCCCTAATTAAAATATGTATTATACTTTTGTTGTTAGTGGATTTCTATAACATTGTTAATATTTTGTAAAGGTTACAGCGGCTAGCCAACTCTCTGGTAGATAAATATACATCATCGGGTCTCATGAACAAACAGTTTGATAGCGTCAAATTGCACCTTACATTAATGAACACCAAGTTCCGTACTGACATCTCGGGAGAAAGTCAAAACTCACCTCAGAGAAGAAGGAAACCGAGAGAAACGTTTGATGCTTCATATATTTTACAGGTATAGTATGTGTCCTCTATTGTTTAAAGAAAACAACTTAAATGTGGATAGTAATATTTTTGAATTCTTAAATACACATATTTAGAGAGATTATTATGCTTTATAATGTTTTAGGTACAAACCAGAATTGTTAAATTACCTAAATTGTCCATGATATGTTAAAGAGTACTGCTGTATCCCACTTGGATGATGTTTAAACAGTTTTATCCAAACCAAAAAACCATTCTTTATAATAGAACTTATTCCTTGTGTTACAAAACTAGAAATACATACCAAACAGGATATAATAATGCTTAAATCCACCATGAGCAGCTAAAACTTCATCTTTTTGACGTTACAATCTGTCAGGAAAATCCTTGAAGCGTTGATAGTGGAAATCAGCCACAAAGAGTACTTTCAAGAATGGAACAAGAGTTTGATGAAGTGGAGACTTAGGATTTGGTATACCATGATAGTTATATCAAAAAACATTCTTTAAAGATGCCAGTGGTGTAAAAAGATTTACTTATATTCTATCCTTCAGAGAAATTATAAGATGAAGTCCATGCAAACAAAATGTTTCTCAAAATCAGGGTGGTATGCATGTGTCTTTAGGCAGTTTCCACATGTGAACTTCAAGAAAAAATTAACTAATGATGTATCTCACCATGGTGTAGTTCACTATTCCTATGTCCACTCATTATTACAACACTGAATGAGGAGACGTGCACTGGTGGGTGTAATAAATGGTTTATGTATTGTTGTCTGGCTGTTATCCCCAATAATCTTTTTGCAGTTAGGGTGTATCAGGTTGTTTACTATTAAGGTCTCACCCAGGAGTTTGTTTTCCTCAGTTTATTTATATGTCTGAAACCAACTCATCATATACCAACTTTTAGGCATGTTTAGAAATCTGTGATGTAGGTGGAGTGCTTATTTTCCCATCTTGAGTGAAACTGATTTATAGCAGGATAACATATGTCTGAGAGATTCACTGAAACATATATTATAGGTTAGTCATATGAACTACATACAGTCCCCCATGGAGAACATGAAGGTTACTATGGTCAGGTGTTTCTACTTTTTTTTTTCTTTCTTGTTATTATAACTTCAAGCACATTTCATTAGCTATACTTTATTTTGAGCTTAAAATATTAAAGCTGAACAAAACACTGATCTATGTAATGCTAATTCTATTTTCTAGACCTTCAAAAATTACCATTTTGGTCACACTACAATATCAGAAGTACATCTCTCTCAACTTCATGCTACAGATAAGGATGGTTATTATGCTTGTTCTGCAAAGTTGGAGCTTCCAAAGTAATTTTTTTCTATACTATTGCAATGTAGAATAAAGTGTTCTAACAAGTTATGAATATATACACAAGATTTGAATAAAATCTGTTTGTGAATAGTTATTAATTCCTGATGAAAGGTCTAAGCCAGAATTGATTCATTCAAGAGTAAGCATGAAAATATTTGAGATTCTCCTTTAACTGTATCTCATGGAGCAAGACTTTCATTTCTACTGTTTTTAAATGACTTTTTGAGGTCTACTTGATGTTAAAAACATTCTTCAGAATTCATGTTATTTTTAATTTTATGAAAAAACATCGTTAATCAATAATTATATTTATGATAAATCAGAAAATATACTAAGTCATTTATGAACAGTACACTAATTAAACAACACCTATTTATTAGTATTTTCAAATGCATCTGTTGAGAAATTTAACAATAAAATTTATAAATTAATGCACTTTTAAATTACAGTTGCAATTCTTAGAATGTTTATGAGCTCGATATTCTTGACAAAATAATTTATTTTATAGATTAAGTAGTTTTCACACAATACATTACAGTAATACTGTAGTGGTTCACCGACTATTACTCCCTTTCACAAACCATAAGATGGGCTGTTCCAAATCAGTTGTGAAAAGTGATATTATTTTAAAGGCTAATTAATCACCAAGGCTTTTCTTAATATCATTAGAACTAGAATTCTAATCTCTGTATCATATCTAGGAATGTTTTTTGTATGCAAATTATCTAATTAACCCTATTTCATATGGGGTTTTCAAGACTTCATACGTGTACATGGTGCATGGGTGAATTCCAGAAATGAAGATCAAAAAAAGTTTAAATATAATATCCAACATTTATTAAATGTTGTAGACTGTCATAACTTCATCCTAAAAAATTTGTTTTGGGCCTTTACCAGGTGCCCAAACACTATTGATGATATCATCACAATGGCTTGTTACAAGAACACTTTAATTATTTTATGCTTTGAATTGGACCAGGTAATTTTAGCTTGCTTCAAAAAAAAATCATCTGGAATGTTAATTAGTTTTCCAAAATAAATCAATCATGTGACCAAAAAAATGATTCAAGAAGTCTGTGAATTTGCACACACACAAAATGTTTTAAGCTCTTTCAACCAGAATATGAACAGCTAACACCACATCTTTTACCCATTTTCATTTTTCAAAATTTACTGCAGGGAAGATATAAAAAAAAACGTTTTCCACTACTTGTATCATTCTTTTAAAGACTTACTTGAATTTTGCTACCAATATTTTTTCTGAAAATTTCCAAACACAAAGTTAATTTTCAAATAAATTTATCTTTACAATTTTAAAATAATCCACATTTTCAGGCCATCAGATAGTTTTGTTTCAGTGGATGTAAGAAAGATCAACAAAAACCTTAGCTAATTGTTTTTATACTATTTGTGTGTGTGTGTGTGTGTTTTTAATGCCCCAAGTGTTTTGGGGTAGTTGATTTACTTTATTTGCACATGTTGGTCCTAGACACACCAACTTTCAGGTTTATCTTGTATAAATTGCTTTTATGGGATACACTTAGAAAAATCATGATCGATCATAGTGAATGTATATGGACTTTCATGTAATTCAAGTTTTGATATTCAATAATTATTTTCAAGTTTCGTGTTAATTTAAAGTTTCAGTAAAAAATCTTGGAGAAACTTGACGTTTCGATTATTTGATTTTAGACTGTTACAAATAGAAACGGGTGTATAACTGTAGTTACATGAATAAATGTTATTTGGGGTAGTAAACTAGCCACATTTTTGGAAGGGTCAGAAGTTTGCCAACTTTCCAGAAAAATACTGTTTGCTTTATTAAATACCTAAAACTCCTTTTTATATTAATGTTGTTACTTGTTTAATTTGCAATAAAATGGGAGACCAAGTATTCCCCTTTATGTAAAACTTTTCTTTTTGGATATCACAACTTGTTTTAAAATTAATTAAAAATAAAATTCCACCTGAAGCTGAACCACAGCTAACAGAGAAAGCTATTAACATAGATGCATTACATCATTTTTTAAGCTACTTTTACCCATCTTATTCCTTTAATGCTCCACATACAGGATCAGTCATTTTGACCAACTTTTTTAACCATGAAACTACACAACTTTCAGTACATTAGGTTTACTACAAGCTTCTAAGTGTCATGAAAATAAGCATTATAAGTCTTGTATACAAAGAATATCAGATTTATTTTTTAATTAACTGTTTTTACTAAAGATTTGTGAATTTATGGAGTCTGGATTAGACTGATTTTCATCTTACGGTTAAAAATTTTAGTTTCAAATGTCATTAATATAACCTCTAGAACCTTCTAAATGAATATCAAGTTTTTCAGTAAAACATTATTTTACCCATCATATTCTCTACCCTTACACTGTATACAGGCTCTGTGCATTTCACTGGCTACAAGGCCAGTCAAAAAATAAAATAAACATCTAAATTATCCTTTTTACTTTCCAGAATGACTGCATCTTGTTACAAACTATAACACTATTCTTACAGCCAAAAATTGTTACAATTCAAATCTCCCAATAATTTAGATGTTTTATTGCCACTTAGAGTAGCACCAAAGTCAATCATCACAACAGAAATGCCTTGTGTAAACACAGCATGCTTGGTCAAGTTACAACATGCTGTGCTTGAAAGACATATTCATGTTATTTGGCTTTTTTTTTTTTATATCTAAACTAACAAGTTTCTAACAAGAAATTTATACTTATTTGTGGGTCTTGATAAAAGTTAACCCCATTTTTTTTTGTAGGGGGTGTTGTTAATACTTTATTTTAGAACAAAATAACATTCAACAGAATGTCCTGAACCTATTATAATGTAGCTGACTTTCTAACTAAGTTATATGTGCAACAACATGTCAAGATGATCTCGGCAATAACAAACTATAAAACTAATACAAATCATGAGAATGAGTTAACTTCATAGGAAATACAGTAAATTATATTTTTCTATTGTTTATATTTTGTTTGAATTTAGAACTTGCATAATATTAAAACTTCAGTTATAAACTACATTTTATGTCAAGTTTATTGACACATTGATATCACAAAGCAGTTTAAATTTTGAATGTAATTGTCAAAAAGGTTGTAACATGCACACTTTGACCTATGTACAATGTTCCTTCGACACTTACTAGTCATGCTTATGTTTCAAACTACATTTATCTTCTCCCAATATTTCAGCAAACATTAAAAGGGCTTCCAGCTTGCCTAGTTCTCCGGTTGTCCTCCTTTGAGACATCTGGCAGGCAATCATCACCCCCTCACCTTCTTATTCTGCTTCTAATCATTTATTTCACCCCAATTGGCTTACCAATCATAGAAACAGGCATGGGGGTTCCTTCTTGTACCACTCAATCACTCTTCGTTCTGCTCAACTGCTTTCTTTCTTTTTTTTTGGGGGGGGGGGCATAGATTGATGTTTGGCCACATTCTTCAGTATGGTCTATCCCTTTACTTTAATCTTTTTTATCTCATTGTATAACTTTACTATTTCCTTCTGCCAACAAATTTTAGATCAGGAAGTTGTCACATATAAAAATCAGCTGTAGAATTTGTTCATCACACATCTCCAGTTTTATACTTCCATTTTTTAGTAGTTCCAAAGAACCTGAGATTGGAGATCTGTATCGTCTCAATCATTTCCTTGGATATTTACCATTTCAAAATGGCAAATATGGAAGTTTCAATGATGCAGACATTGAATAACAAAGATGGATATCCAAAATATTTATCTTTATTTGCTGATACAGTCATCATCTCATCATTTTCTAGTTTTTGCCATTGAAAGGTATTTTATGAATTCAATGCTCTATTGATTGGCCTGGCTTTTGCTCCGTATGTATTCTGCTGAGTAATTATGGCCTTAACCAGTCATCTCCATTCACTCAACATCAATTTCCACCTTATATGGATGATTGGCTTCTTACTCTGTCATCCACTCAGTTTTGCACAGTCACTTGACTATTCAGTTTGCTATGTCTCTTGTGTAGATTATTCACAACACCAAATCTCAGTTGGTATCAATTAAGTATTTGATCCTTCAGGGGATTTTTTAGCCATCTCCTATAGTGCTTCAGGTCTTGGTGTGCACCAACTTTTATCTTCTTCACCTACTGCCAACGTTATCCTTTCTGCTTTGGGGATGGTGGCTTCACAGATTATTCCCTTAAGGCATGCTTTGTGCACCATATCCATCAAAATCTTGTTTCTCATTGGTGTTTGACCACACATCTGTTTATTTGCAAAGTATTTCCTCAATTACTTTAACAGTCTCTTACCAGTATTTCACAAGTAACATACTCATTTGTAATTAAAATAAAATTTTCAAGCTACAAACATACTACACAACAATGTTATGATTAAAAGTCATTACTTTACACTTAAAACAACAAAATAAAAACAATCATCCACCCACAATTAAGAAAATCAAGAGCAATAGGATACTATGCATACCATCAGTAATGTGGTTCTCAAGATTCGAGACAAAATTATTGCGTTGTTGCAAAAGAAAGCACATCTACTGAAGTTGCACTTTATTTCTGAAACAATTATCAAATCACTTTGTAAAATATTAAACAAAGTGAAGCTAAATTTTACCACTGAGATATAAATGCTTTCAACAGGGTTTATGATTCACAATGGCTGACACAAAATATAAGTTCAATTCTGATAACCAAATTCAATTAAGCTTTTTCAAGGATCTCCAACAGTGAAATATTTAGAGCATATTTTTCCAAGGTTTTGAATGCCTGAACAAATCCTGTTCCAATCTTAACAGAGAAGGTACAGCCATGCAAATTATGAAACCAATTGAAAAGATGTCTTTGAGTAAAGTATTCATCAATCCAAACATTGTCAAAGACTGCTCCAGAGTCTGATGATTTGGGCATTACAGTTGCAAGCAAGACAGATTCCTGAACAATTAAGACAGTGAAAGAAACTTCTGCACTTACAAAACGAAGTTTGTTGAAAACTAAAGTGAATTGTGTCTCCCATACTTTAGCAACACAGACACGAAACCTCCATGGTATAAGGATAAATGAAAAGTTGTTCTAGGTTAAGAACAAGAACCAAATCATTTAACTTAAATATGCACATGCTTATTTAAACGACATTTCTTTCATAAATTTATGCTAACTTTATCAATGTTTATATCACTCATTTACTCTACCAATGACATCCGTTAAACTTTAAACACATAATCAACTAATCAACAATTATACTAAAAATTTAACTCCAATATCTTTCTAAGTTTTTTCATAAACAATTTGCATTATAATGACATCACTATACATAATGGTGAAGCTTGAATAATATACATTTGTAATTATGGAGTCAAACATTTATTAATTTTCTACGGTAAAGGATATTAGAATTTTAAAATTACAATTATTATCTACTCATGATGTACTGCTATTTTCTTAATCGTATATTAACTCTGTGATTGTGGATACATTATACAATTTACTAGTAAACAAAACAGTAATTTCAGTATCCCATTTCTTAATATAAATAAAATGCAAAATCAACTATGCATTTAGAGAAGGATATTTCACTCACACAGATAATGAATTAGAAGTTTAGTTCAACTGATATTTGTTTTTTTTGTTGTTGTTTTTCTCCCTATCGTTGAATTTCAGTCTGCAAAGATCTATTCTTAACCAAAGCAAGAAAAAAAATTAAATACTTATCCAAACGAATTTTAGAAGTTCTGTATAGTACAGTTAGAAAACCTATAATACAAATTGGTGGAAATAGACTTCAAATAATGTGCTATTTTTCTTCTTAAGGATGTAATTACACTACAAAACACACACTCAGAAACAAAACTTTTGATTCAAACAGCCATATGTATTTTTGACATTTTGAGAAATCTTATACCTAGCTAAAAGGATTTATTCAGACTAAGACTAGAAAAAAACTGATGTTTAAGATCATACAAACCTAGCCTGGGACCACAGGATCTATTTAAATATATTCTCTGGAAGAGCTGAAAAAAGTTTTGTTTTTACCAACTAGAACTTCATAAAATCTAAACATCAATACTTTATACTTATTCCTTACAATGTGTTATACAGTGAATACATAAATTAATTTCAAACTTTTCTCTATAATTACATCAGCTTTATTGAATAGGATTCAAAGAAATCTTACCCTTAACTGCTTACTCCATTTTTGTTTCTAGGAATATTTATTATAGGCTCATTAAAATTAAATATATAACACAACGATTCTACACAGTTCTGAATTAGTTTCAATATATGTCATGAGTTATGCAGCACACTATATACTAGATTTCAATTTAAAGTTCCAACTTGAGCCAAGGATTGATGCCATACAAAAGTACTCAACATTTGTACATACTGTACCATTTACATTATTGTATTACAAAGAAATATACTAGAATTCACCGTGGATTGTTCTACCTTAATCTTTAAGTGTAAATAAAATTTCAATTTATACAATGTCCTTTAATCTTCACCCTAAAAGTGGAAAACCTTCCCTGAGTAAGTTGTATTTAAATATTTATACAGGTTTGTTCCTTTCCTTTTATAAATTGTACAATAACAAAGACTAAATTTTTATTTAAAAACAAAAATGTAAATTGTTTTTAGTTCTTAGATTATTTAGTGACGGGATTAGGTCCTGACTACTGCTGATGATGAAACAGTTTCTTATAACATTTGGCAGAAGTAAACCTGCTGACTTTTAATACTATTGTAATCATTAGCAGGAATTGTTTCAAACAAAGTTAGTGACATAAAATTTATTATTGATTACATGCATTTTTCAGTGAACTCAAAGATAAAACCCATCTCACGAGAATATCTGGAGAACACTATGTATTTGTGTGGAATTATATTCTATCAGTAATTGGAATATAAAAAGTGATTAAAATTATTTTACTGCAAATTTAATTTTAATATAAAATTGGCAACTGTCAGATCTGTCTTATTTTAGCTTGTACTATCACTTGATGAACAATAATGTTCTTTAAATCAATTCTCCAAGTAACTATCAATGGAATAATGAAACGTTTTGAGCTTTAAGGCCACCACAACTGCAAATCTGCTGCTACACCTTAAAAATAGTATATATTTAAGGAATGCCATACTTTTCAATCATCAAATATAACACTGACATTACCAAAGCTTATAGTATAATTGTTCTACATTTTCTAATACGAATACCAGTGAATTATTTAAATGTTGAACAACCTGGACAAAGGTATGCAATTCAGAAAAATACACTATAATGTCTAGGTAGAGAAAACAAACTGAATTTTCAATAGAAGATGAAGCATAAGACAGATCACTTCTGTTGATTTTGTCCAAATTTATTAAATCTCTATTACAGTTTTACAAGCTGATGAAAATATCACCAGTAGGGGTAGTTACATTCATTCACAACTTAAATCTAAAACTTTGGACGAATTCTGTTTGATGTATTCACAAAAATAAATAGAAATGAATCTAATAACAATTGAGCTGCTATGTTCTCAAGCAACAACTGTGTTGCTTAAAATGAGAAGTTCTTCGGTTACCTAATTAGCAAAGTCAGATTACTATTACAGAGAAGATATAAGAGTATTGGATGTGTTTGATATGAATGAAACTGCCCCTTAAAGATCTGAGAGATGTTATTAATATTGACAATATTAGCAAGAATTCAGAAAGCAACCATATTATCTACACTTGGTGGTTTGGCTGAACTTTAAGGCCAATAATCCACACTGCTGTGATTTAACCAATCTGGTTAGAGCTGAACCAACTTAAATCAAATCTGCAACATTCATAGGCATTTCTTCTACTTGAGTATTGTAGAACTGTTCAATATCACGCAAGGTGCGTTTATCTTCTTCTGTAACAAAGTTTATGGAAACCCCTTTCCTACCAAACCTGCCACCACGTCCAATTCTGTTATTGTGAAAGAATAAAAACAGAAACATGTAATAAATCAAAATAATGAAAATAAAATTATCATCAATATAAGCACTTTTATTGCAACTACAGTTACAATTACTAGAATTCTCTGCTTGTAGACTTTTAATTTAAATAAAACACAAGTTCTGATCATCCAGTTAGAGTAACTACAAATGGACCAAGTTTGGAAATAATGTCACATCAGTGATTGAGACCAAACAACCAGACATTAAGAAAGAGGTCCTTGTCTTGTCTCACCCACACTGAAGTGTTGTTTTTCTTCCATTTGACAACCTGCACTGTTATTGTCACATTTACCAACTAAAAGCTGGAAATGTGACTACAGAGAGGTGCTTTTGATGGAAGTTTTGAAAAACAGAGATTCTAATTACAAAATTTAGGATCACAACTACGACCAAAATCGGTGCTTTAACCTACTTTGCTATTAGGTTATGTAAGGGCATGCAGAGTGCAAATTTACACATCTATAAATATATCAAAACATTAAACAAAGGGTATCTAGTTAATCTTACAAATGTGTAAACTTTCATTTCATTATATCTGTAGGACTGAATAGCATGTAACACGTTTTTTTCACCTTCTAACTATTTTTATACACAATGGTAGTTTTTGTTAATTTTACTTACTTTTGTTTGTTTTTTTACATTTTTTGCACTGTGTAGGTCAATGATCATACACAAAGCTCTCCAATTTTCATATGGTGTTAATATAATAAAACAGACAACAAATAAGTTCATTGGAGGAAGAAAAAAAGCTATATTACATCTTTTTGGGGTAATAATTTAAAAAACTGAAATTTAAGACAAAATAAAGTATCTTTATTTTCATTTAATAAAAATTTTTTAAAACAAATGTTCATAAACTTAAAACTGATAAATCAAGTACAAAACTGATTTTTACACACATACATATATATATTTAGAAAGCTTGTATGAAGTTATAAGAAACTTAATACAATAACTTTAGTTTTTCATGTACATTAATGCTCCAGTATGAAAAGATTTCAGGGTTTTTAACTACAAAATCTTAGCAATTTATATTCCATTTTTCTACAAAACTCATCTAACCATGCAATAATAGTTTCAGTTAAATAATTTGCACAATAAAACAAAGAACTACATCACATAAACCTGTAACAGTTTTTAAATTAAAAACTAATTTTCAACAGAAAGCTAATGTTTTCATGGAATAAGAAATTAAAATATTCTGGTCGATCAACTTATTTCTAATAGCTAGATTTTTGAAACTTTTACTTAGACAAAAAGTTACAAATAAAGGAAAATTACATTTATAATTTTTTTTATCCCCATTCTTATAACACACATATGAATTCTGTTGTTAAGCTCAAGGCTACATGATAGGCTATCTGTGAACTGTACACCATGGGTATCAAAACCCGATTTCAAAAAAAATTAGCCCACAGACTTACGACTAAGCCACCAAGGGAAGGTGTTAGGTGCACATTTAAATGAAAGCAATAAGATACGTATCATACATGTAGTAATTAATCTAACATATATATCTATGAATAATGCATACCTGTGAATATAATTTTCTCGATTGGTAGGAAGATCATAGTTTATTACTAGTGACACCTGTTGAACATCAATCCCCCTAGCTAACAAATCTGTTGTAATAAGCACCCTACTTGATCCAGATCGAAACTCTCTCATAATCACATCTCGCTCTTTTTGATCCATATCACCATGCTATAAGAACATAATCAAGCTTTTTTTTTATTTTCTTTGCAGCTAACAAAATTTATACCAAAGCTTTCAATAACGTGAATAAAACTGTATCTAATGAAAATATCCAACTTCATCAACAATTGGTGTTTGTTACTGAAAATTTTAAACAGAAGAAAACATGTGAACGTTTTATATTATATTACATTCACAAACCTTGTCATTTTCTAACTATTCAAGAAAATGACAGTAAATTGTAATACCTCATAAAAGAGACTATCTGATAGGATCTGTTGTGATAAAATAAAATATTGTGACTAAAAAGCATCACACAGGGTGTATAAACCAAATTCTTATAGAAATCCAACAAAATATTTATATGCATGTTACATCTGTGACTGACACAATACAACCAGACATTAAGAAAGAGGTCCTTGTCTTGTCTCACCCACACAGAAGTATTACTTTTCTTCCAGTTGACAACCTGCACTGTTATTGTCACATTTATCAACTAAAAGCTGGAAATGCAACTACAGAGAGGTGCTTTTGATGGAAGTTTCACTAACTAGAGCTGTGATTACAAAGCACTACTTTTAACCAAATATACAATAATCATCTACATATTAATATCTGATTACATGGAGATATTTAATCCAGTGTTTAATATTATATAGGTTGTTTTGATGCAAGTTCTATTGTTAGACTTTTGGCTACAGAGTGTTGCATTTACTGAAAAGTCACAAATGTGATAAGAAAAAAAATGTTTCAAAATATCTTATAATCCTACCTATTACTACAAATAAGGTCAAAACTTTT